TTGCTTATACGAAAAAGAAATAATTGTATATCGCACAAAAAAATCACACATGTTTTCGAGATATCCTTTCAAGATTAACTTCCGTGCTGAGTTTTTAGCGACTTAACTTCCAGCCCCAAACAGTGCATTCGAGTGCAACAATGCAATTACACGGTACGTCGCGTGAAAAGTTTCCGTCAGAGCAAAGGCATGAACAAAGTTTGCATTCTCCTCGAAATCGTCGCAAATTCTCAAATAGTAAGGGAACTGCAATGCCATTCGTGACAAAGAGCAATAGATGCTGTAAGATGTAACATAATTTGTTGCGCTGTAAGATATAACATAATTTGATCTGCCATTTTGGATCCTCTATTTTTAATTTTGAAATTTCAACACGTGATTCGTGATGACTAACCAGGCAAACATATACATACCGACTTTCATGATCAGAATAATTTAAAAAAAAAATTCTAATAACGGACAATTGGAGACGTATAACTAGAGGACATTGCGATAATTGATATTTCTTATGTTTCGACCACTTTTTTTTCAGGAAAACCTTTTCTGTCTTGGACTTTTGGCATTTTTATCATAAAGTATAAGTCTTGAGTTTCATTTTGAGTTGTCGCTGCTTTCTGGAGCATGTCCCCATCGAAAGATACAACTCACGCAAAAGTATCAAAAACGCCTATTTTAGTAATTTTGACTGAGGTTTTCCCAAAAACTTGATTTGTGATACGCCATTTTTACGGCCAGATTCATAATCGGCGCTAAAAAATTTACCAAAAATGGTTTGATAGAACTTAAGGAAAAAAAAAGGTCTCATTTTGTTGACCAGTGTTATTTTTCTGTGAATCATTATATTTGATTTTCGATTTGAGTTCTATATCTTTTTTTAAATACATGTATTATATCGATGAATACAAAAAATTCTTATGTAATATTAAGAAACGGAAAATACTACCTCTTGAATACATATGCCATATATGAAACACTATGCATACACGCTGAATTTAATATCGTACGAGTAGCGTTCGGCGGAGACACAGAAGATGCCGTTTAAGCTCGGATGCCCACAAAAGAAAAATAGGAAAATATATCAAAGTCCTGAAACTAAAGAACATTTATCGTATCACTAGTAGTACATTTGAATACAGCATTGGCCGAGTGAATGCAGAGCACTTTTTACACGGGACAGAATGCTTTCGATTCTCGAGATTTCAGATACTGTCTGAAGAGAGCGATAAATGTGTATGGAGCTCGAGTCCTTCGTAAATAAGGAAAGTTGCAAGAACGCCGAGAGATAGTTGATCTGCGTCCATCATTTATCATTATTTCGCCGGAAATGTTCGGAAAATAAAGTTTAATCTATCGGTGTATAGTTCACTGGCTAAACTTCTAATAGCTCTTTAATGTGCTAGCCGTTCGAATTAGTTCATTGTTCCTTCCACACAAATTGGATAAGTTTAATATATAATTATATATATATAATTATATAGATATAAAAAAATTTCGCCATCAAAAATTACATTTTTTTACAAAATAATAAAAAAACCTTTCAGAATCATTTGACAAGAAATCCTGCGTTCCTTCATTCGTCATCTAGACTTTTTAATCATAACTCTTCAAAATATATATGTGTAATCTGATTTTTATTTTAAAACACACATACACTATTCTAAAACGATACATACAGAGTGCTAGAAAACATAAAAACAAAATAAATAAAAATATAATTTTATATTTTAATATAATTTTCTATTCGTGGTAGCTAAACAATATAAAAGGATAAGAACTTTAGGGATCTCAAGTTACTTTAAACAATAAAGAAAGATCAACTAATATTTGAGAAAATGATAGCAAACAGAAAAATAGATTTTGTCTCTAATTCGCCAAGATCAATTTGATCAACGTCGATACGGGTGTATAATATTTTCTCACCCAGGAAGAGAGACGGGCACATTTTTGCCATAAATTTCATTGCTTATTATTGCCGTTATTACTATAGACTCGGCGACGTCTTGTGGAAGACGTCATATCGAGGAAAGTTTTCCCCATTCAGCCGATATCACGAGGGTTAAACTCAGACGACGACTTTGTTCGGGTTTTCTCCGAAGAAAAACGAGCGACACGTAACTGATATTATTATATCTCAAGCGGAGACGCGATGGGGGGATAGTGTCCATAGAAGGAAGATAGGCTGCCATTCGTGTCGATACGATGACGAGAATCGAATGAAAACTATCGCGACGGCACGTGTGCCTCGCCTGGTGTGTACTTATCTCGGCGGAGCCCACATATATTTTCAGCTATTCTACCGGATTCCACAAATGTCTCTTAACGGATAATATTGATAGCGACACAATACAATCGCGAGAAGTCAAACTATCACGTTGCAGGTTTATTCATAAACCGCGGGATGAACGCCGGAATAATAGATGGTTAAAGGTAACATGAGTATGTTGTATATAAAGAGAGAGAGAGAGAGAAAGAGAGAACTTTAGCTTGCCATTACAATGAAGCCGTCATATCGGTGAAGTTTTGTTGAAACTTCACCGTCTCACGAAGCATGAAATTTCTTAACTATCGTGCAACCGCGTAAGATATAGCCGCGAAGCAGATTGCATCTGCATCTGGCCTGCATCTATTAAATGTCGGCGTTGATAGATTTGACTTAAGAATGTATGTGTCATATGTCAAAACATTGACAAAAGCATGAAAACTTCGTAGACTGTTCTACTATTTCTTCTGAGTATCTGTGAAAAATCTGAGCACAATTCTCTTAACGGTTTGCAAATTATTTAAGTTTGAAGTTAGTATTGATTCGTATGGGAAATCGCGTATTGTAGCACTTATTGAGAAATTTGACAAGGAAAAAACATTGCCAACAAAATAAAAATCTTCACATATATTAAGAAATCTCTAATAAATATTTGTGCAAAACTTGATTTAGATCTACTTACTCGTTTAAAAGTTATTTACTAAAAATTGTAAAAAAATATTATCTCTCTCTCTCCCGGATTTATTTATTTGATTTTTTAAACAGTATAAACAGTATAATAAGAAAAATGTTTTTTTTTTTTAATTTTAATTTCTTGCGATTCGTGTACTACAACCAAACATCCTTAAAATTCATAGATTTGAACGTATATTGGCACCGCCGTTCGTTATCGAACGTTCGATATTATCCTCGATATCTTAAATCTATTTTAAACAATTGCTCCCATTTTTCTTCATCATTATCGGAGAAAAGAAAAGAACTTATAGGAAAAAAAGAATTTATAAAGCCGACTTATCTTCTTTTTCAAGAATTAAATATTATAATATTTATACTGGAAAGTAAACTAATAATTCTTCATAAAATTTTCGCTAAAAATAGAACAGCCATCAAGAAATAGAGTCAAAAGTTAATCATCGTGTTCAAACTTTGTAAAATTGATATCGTTATGCTAAATGTATTACGTAACAAACTTTATATTATACATATAGAGAAATTCTACATAAAATGTATGAAAAGCAAATAATTTATAATAAGCTTAAAAATATTTGTAAACAAGGGTCGCATGTTAGGTAATCGAGAGAGTACTCTACATATTAATATAAAATATGCTCGACGATAACTTACTCCAATAATTTCATTAGACGAAATGCATTTCTAATACACTTTGTGGAGCATATAAAATTAAAATTGTCGCAATGCGGCATATTTTCCTATAATAAATATAACCGTTATTATTTTTAGAATCTCTTTTACGATAATTCTGAAATTAATAAAATCGCGGATCTCTACACAATTTTTTATACGCCAATCTTATATATTTTATGAATTAACTTAACATTGAAATTATTTCGATACGAAAAATTACAGGCGTTAATATATTAATATGTATGCGTTCCATCCCTCTGCAGCTTTCATGATTAATTATGTGAATCGCATCAAGAACAGCGCGCTAGCTATTCCGAGATTAAAAATTACACAGCAAAGGAGGTGAACTTTGACCATAAGAAGGCAAGGTCGATCCTTGACGCGACGATGGTAGCTGCAAAGTCGGGCGCATCGAAGGATGCCTTTTTGTGGCGAATACTATAGTATACCTCTAGCGAGGCTTTGATCAGCGACGCGATGCAAAACCACCTCGCAAAGCGCGACGTTAGACAAAGCTCCGAGTTTTACCCGGCGTATTCGGGTCAGATGTCAAATAGCTATTCGCCGGTTGGCGAACACGACGCGTTGTAATCTTTGGCGAATCGTATTAAATTACCGGCGAACATATCGGAACCGACCGAGAATATCCGCTAGCTACGGTTAGAAACAGAACTCAAGGCGACGTCTTGAAAGGCACTTCTCTCAGAGAATTCTGAGTTTCGTGTAGATTCGCGCGATTATACGGAATGAGATGGGACTACTAAGGAAAATGATGCTGATTGTACTTGACATACCCAAGTAGCGTTAATAACGATTTAAATTTTAATTCAGATATTCAAGAATATAAATTTTCAATTACGCACAAAACAAGTGAAGAAGAATATACGATTTGAAAGTCTCGAAAAGATTTACGTCATCGCATTTATCGAGCGAATATAATCGGATGTAATACGTTCGTTCTTTTGCACTTCCTTGCCAAGACGATAATCCCATATTTTACCGCATTAGACGTCTTCTTCTATACGATTGGCTATGTTTTCTTTTTCTCGCGACACGGACTACATTTTCGATAAATTTTTCCAATATTCGCGAACTTTCTGTATCCGTCTAAATTTTGCGTGGGTGATATTTTCACGTCGTAGAAGCGCAATCTCGACGAAAGTATTGTAGCATTTCTTCGAATCGATCAACCGCGTCAATTTTGTTGCTGACAATCGTGTTTAATCACGCGGAATAATCGACGTGCGACAAGTACGATCGCACGACGTATCTTTGGAAAATCTGTCGTGCCGCGAAAGCATGGTAGAGTCATTACACGGTTCATTACAGCAGCCTGCGCAATTTCAGAACGCTGTAAAAAGCTCGAAGAACTCACCTTAAAATCGATGTAGCCATTCTTATCCATGTCGAATGTGCGGAAAACATGATCGCAGAATTCCTCCGCGTTGCCGGACGGGAAGAACATTTTGTACATGTCGACGAATTTCGCCGGCGTTAACCTGCCGTTAGGACAGTCTTGCTGTAACATTCAAAGAAACGCAAGATTGTGAATTTTCAAGTTATTAAAATTGTTATGAGAGATGCAAAAATTTATATAATATATAAAGACTTTGCCAAAAATAAAATCAATAGAGGAAGTATTCGCATTAAGAATATACGTTCTCCATAAATTTAGTGTAAGACTCTTATTAAATATAAAAATATATTAATTCTGTCTCTCGTAGTAAAAATATTCATAGTTAAAATTACATTACATCAAAATTTAACGATTTTACTAAAATATAGCTTTAACTCTCCCGGAAAATCGATTAGGAAATACGTGTCTGTCTTGTCAGTTAAGAAAGAGATTTTGAAAAAATCGCGTTTTTTCGTTTCGATTTTTTTGTGTCAGATTATTGGCCTTAAGAATGTTTTGGCTGTACAATAGTAGCAAAAAACTGTCAAAATAAAAAAAAAATATATTTCTTACATTTATACTGTTTGAAAAATTAAATAAATAAATCCGGGTTATAAAAAGAATTGAAGTATCACAAAATAATATGGTTTTTAACGTCTTCGTAAAAGAAAATAGTTGTAATTATTATTTTTCTTAATTTATGACAAAAACTTTTAATCGTGAATACCTCCTGAAATCATCTGCAAAAAACAAAAAAAGATGAGTAATTTGTAAAAAGAGAGAGAGAGAGAGAGAAATAATATTTTTCTAGAATTTTTAGTATATAACTTTTAACCGAGTAAGTGGATTTAAATAAAGTTTTGTATAAATATTTATTAAAGTTTTCTTAATATATGTGAAAATTTTTATTCGTTTGCAATGTTTTTTCCTTGTAAAATTTGTCAATAAGTGCTACAATACGCGATTTTTCATAAGAATCAATAGTAACTTTAAACTTAAATAATTTCCAAACCGTTAAGAGAATTGTGCTCATTTAGCACAGATACTCAGAAGAAATAGTACAACAGTCTACGAAATTTTCATACTTCTGTCAATGTTTTGACATATGATACGTATATTCTTAATGTAAATGTCATTCGTCTCGGCATTTTTAGAATATGCGAATGAACGACACATCTCCGCGATATTTCGCAATCTTCCGCAATCGCGAAAATTTCTCTGTTAGATCGATACGCGTTGGCGTAATCGGTCACTATTTATTTCAAAGTTGTGCGCGATTGATCGTGCATCGCGCGAAACAACTGAACTAAAACACGATTGGCTTGTGGAACATCCACTAATGACTCCGCTTAGTTTAATTAGTTCGTTTCAGACACCACACTGGATTCTGCTTCATGCCCGGTTAAATTGCCTGAGAAAATACGTGCACAACTTTTCCGCGGTATTGGCAGCTTCCGCGAGAACGTCTCATCCTATTCACTCGCGCTCGTGTGAATCGGATCTTCTCTAAGCTTTGTAATCGAGATTGATTCATCCCGTAGAGATACGTCTGAAATCCTATTCACGAGACTTCCTAACAGGTTTTCTATAAAAATACTTGACGCTACCAGTATTTGAAAATTATAATCGATTCTCTCGACTTTAAACATTCACAAGATTTTATATTGTGTGACATAATATTCTCGGAGAATATGTTATCGCATGAATATCCGATAAAATTTCGATAATTTGTATACATTCCAATGATATAATGTACTATTCGTTATTTGTTATAAAAAAAAAAACCAAAATTATTTTTTCAAAACACATTTTATAATACATTATTTCCCAATTCTGTAAACACACAAACACTGTCATATTGTATCATGAGATAATGTACGTTAAGAAAATAATATTCTTATTAAATCTAATAATGTCATCAAATCTATTATGTATACGGTACGTTTGAATTTATCGAATACGTATATTTAGAACACATTATATATATAATGTTCACTGCGGAAATGTGGCTAAATAAGTCACGTTCGCGTAGAACGTGTCAAATATCTGATGAATAAATTAATAATTGCCGTATAGAATACATAAATGAATATCGCATGAAATTAGCTTTCGGAATCATTTCACATGATTGACTCTCGGCGCGCGATACATTACGTCACAATATACTAATGATACATCAATTATTAATCACATATTACACGCGTGAATCAGTCTTTAATTATTAATAACAGCAGAAGGCATTGAAGCTTGTGATTAGATAAATACAGTCAAATACTATAAGAAAAGTTAAATAAAAGTTAATTAAATTTTTTTAAAAGTTGAGAAACTGTCCCATGTAAAGCTCAAATTTACTACGTTTATTATGATCAAATTTCACAAAGAAAATCTCATAACGCCATCTATCGCGAAACGTGTTAAGAATACCTTTGAAAATATTGTTATAGTTAAACCCAACTTTAAGGTTTCGTGACTGACGAATGAGCTACGAACGGATAAATTTACCGGTCATGATTTAACCGCGCAGATTCTGATTTATGAAGTTTCATAACCGTTTCGTATGAGTTCGTATATTACCACTACTCAGCTTCTTTATGAGGGAAAATTTCCTAGAGAACCGCTTTTTCGCGTCTGGCTGCGCATGCTCATGAAATATCGCAGCCTGTTTAATGTGGCATAATTGCGGATACGAGTGGAGCTGCTTTATTTACTCGCAACTATCACGTATTACGGATGCAGTATTTATTAATGCACTCGTGTAGATTTTATTTACGTCTGCCTTTATAAATCTCTTAATTTTGAAAATTTCTATTTATCTTGATTTTTTAATAAACACAAACGTAATCCGCTATTAACTAATGGTAGTTATTATTCTCTTTTAATAGAAAATTATGATTTAACGTAGGATAATTCACATTTATACATATATTCAGAAAATCTATCAATATGGTAATTATTCAGAATCACGGCTCCACCTGCAAATGGGCTGCAAATTTTTTTGATAACTTTTTATACTTAGAGAATAATGTAAATAACAATTTTTAATTGGGTGAGGCTCAAAAAAGAAAGTTATAGACCAAAAAGCGGAAAAAAACGGTGTAATTATTTCGAATAAGGCCTTTTCTGAATTTTGACAAATATGATCGGATCTCTCGGTAAAACTGTGGTGACCCCAACAGTGATAATCAGTCGGGGGAGCACGTCCCCCCCCCCCTCAAAACTGAAAAGACCCCCAAAATTACCAAAGCAAAGCGAGGTCCACCCCACAACCCAATTTGGGTTGTGGGGTGAACTTTATAGTACATAATTACCTAACTTTCGGTAATTTTTTGGGGTTTTCGTTTTTTGGAGGGTGGGGGTGATGGGGAACGGGCTCCCCCGACTGATTATCACTGTTGGAGTCACAACAAAAAGTTTTACCGAGAGATCCGATCATATTTGTCAAAATTCAGAAAAGACCTTATTCGAAATAATTACCCTTTTTTGGTCTATAACTTTTTTTTGGAGCCTCCCCCAACTAAAAATGGTTATTTATATTTCTTTCTAAACATTAAAAGTCCGTAAACAAATTTGCAGCCCATTTGCAGGTGGAGCCGTGATTCTGAATAATTACCATCAATATAAATTTATACTCTTCTTTTCAATGAGATTTATCAATATAAATTAATACTATGTTTTTATGTATGCATGTATGCATATATCTCTTTTAGACCTTCGTTTTTAATAAATCTTTATACAATATATACAATACGATTGCAATGAATCAATTGAACTCATTATGAAACACATAAAATCAAAACGCAAAATAAAAAACTGATTATATTTTTAGTAAAATATTTGATTTAATTTCCCATCAACACACACATACGCACATCTCATAACAATTAATACTCACTTTAAAACCTTTGTACCATTCCTTTATAGTGGCTTCATCGTATCGCGTGTGCGACTTGAGGAAGTCCATATCTTCCTTGCTCAACTTGTCTTTGCTCCCAAAACAACCCATTTTGATACCTACAACAATTAATAAGACATTTCGTAAGAACAAACGTTCGATGATGGAGTAAATAAAGAAATAAAAATATTTTTGAAATGCGCAATAAAAAAAAAATTATTAATTTACGCAATTAATCTAATTTCTCTAAAAATAAAGTTTATTTCTTGCGCCATTTTATTCCATATTTGAAGCAGTAACATCATTGTGTATCTTTTATTCTGAGATGTGCATAATTTCAATGTCAAACTTTTGTGCGTCAAGATCAGCGATTTCATTCCATCAACGCAATTTTCGCAAGCATGATAAAACTTTCGCGACGAGTCTGACATGAGTCAATCAGTCAGTCATCATCGCATGCAGCGCATATTAATAGGGGAATTTATGTCAGTGGCATTGAACATACAAGTCATAAATCCGCAAAATAAGTTAGACATCTAGTTGGATGCCCTTGCCCTCTATTTCCCTAATATTTTATCTCACTTTCCTAGTCTATATTTTACCAGAGAAAACATTTGCATACTCAATAGCAATAGATATTATCAATCTTTTCATAAAATTCTGAAGACATGTATTTTCTGTTTAGTAACTTTAATATGATTCGTCAAATTATTGTAATAATGAAGTTGATATCGTAAATATCTTTTTAAGTTAATATTTACTATCAAATATAATATAAATATAAATGTTTATTGTATACGTAAAAGTATTTTAAGTATTTTAATTTTACGTGTTATCAATTTTATTATTTTTTGTATTTATAACTGTAAATCGCGTACAAAATCAGTATACACACAAAATTATTTTAAAAAACTCTGTTTTAGTAAAACATTAAATAATAAATAACAAAAAATTAATATGTTAAATTATTTAAAAATTAATGCATTAGAAATTTAACAATAGCGTATAAATTATAGTAAGAAAATGATTAGAATTCTAAAATTGTATTTCTTTTATAAGTTCCATATGCAACAAATTCCATGTTTCTGATGAGAATTAATGAGAAAATATCTTGTTTCTTTGAAAAAATATTACATGCGTTAATTACCTCACTAGCGTTTCGCTCGCGAGCAAAATGGAATTTTAATGCATTAATCTTTCTTAGAGGAAAAACAGAATTTTTCTTTGCAAAATAGACTTTTAATTTTTTCCGGAAAAGGAAAACTAGGCATTAAAAGTCCATTTTTGTTCATAATATGCTATTAGAACGATGGATATCCCCGAGACTAGCAGATTTCACGCAAGAGATTTCGTGAAAATGCACATAATTGATGCTTCGTGCAGCAGTCTTGTAAGGCGGTATGAAACCGAGCGATCTCGATAACAACCGCACGGAAGTTCTCGTTACGTGGTAAGAAGCCGTACGCAATTTTCGTGATGTCATATATTGAGGCACGCACGCACGCATACACGCAATACTCATAATGCACATAATACACGCAACACACGCTCATCGATTGCACTTTAGGCCCCGAAACTCGACGTTCCTTTAACTGGCAGGATATCGAAACCGAACGCGTGATCGGAATGACAATGACGTACGCTATACGCATATACATGCACGTTTTAAGAAGAATAAACAAACAGAATGTCTTTCAATAACTCTCAAAATTAAAATTAACCTTTTCTGTATCATAAAAACGGCTAAAAATATTTTATCAGAGATTTTATTTAGTTCACTTGACTGCAATAAATTATTAAATTTATTTTGCAATAATCTTTCAATATACAGGGTGCGTAAAAAATACTGGGACTCTAAAATATCTCGAAGAGTATAAGTTTTGGAAGAAAATGTTAAATACAAAAGTTTTTGGATATCGAAAGAGCTATCTGACTATCGGTCAACTAAATTTTGGGCCCGAGATCTAGTTTGAGCCCAGTAAGACCCAAGTCGATTTTTTCAAGTAGGAACCCAGATTTTTTATCGCGGATTTAGGTTTAGGACACGTTTTTACATCTGACATAGCCGACAAACATTGGGACCGAGGTCCCTTTTGGGCTTAATGTACATCTTGCGCTTCAAAATCTAATTCGTCTTCTTTTAAGCAGAAAACCGTTCTAGACATCGACACGCGATGAAAAATAGAAATTTTTATCGAAAAACTTAATTTGAGCCTCATTGAGCCCAAAAGGCGCCTCGGATCCAAATGTTTATCGGCTATGTCAGATATAAAATCGTGTCCTGAATCTAAATCCGTCAATCTAACATAAAAAATATGGGTCCCTACTTGAAAAGATCGACTTGGGCCTTACTGGGCCCAAACTAGACTCCGGACTCAGAATCTAGTTGACCAGTCAGATAGCTCTTTCGATACCCAAAAACTTTTGTATATAACATTCCTCCAAAACCTATTCCCTTCGAGATATTTTAGGGTCCCACTATTTTTTCCGCACCCTGTATGTATATTAATCTTAATGCTTGCTCTTATTAATTAGACTAGTAATCTTTTTATAATATATCATCTTTTATATTTCCCTAAGATTTTTATAAATTATATTTATATTTCTATATATCTTTTCTCTCTCTAAATAATTATCATATGTTTTCTCGATTTGTTAAATATAGGGTGTATTCTACAAATATATTACATTGAAATAAAAGCTTGTAAACATCTTTTCCTTTTAACTTATGAATTTTGTTGTATTTATTTTTCCCTTTAATTTTATAGTTATAATATAATTTCATGTTTTTGTTCTCACGATTTTAGTCAAAGAGGAAATTTGACCTTAGTGTCAAAGGAAGGAAAATGTGTCGCTTACCGAGATGGATTCAATATCATAATGTAGGAGTTACCCTTTGTGGGTAGTCTCGGTCCATCTCCGACAAAGAGATTTATAATTAAACGCGACTAAAATTACGCAAATGACTAGCAAATAATTTTAGCGGCGTATCTAATTATAAATCCAAAGCTGGGTGAAAAATAACTCCAAACGCAGTCAGAAACGTATATCCGATATCACGCTGACTCACGTAGAATAATACCGCGTTATTTTTTCTACCGCCACAGTGACTATCAAATTTTCGATAAAAGCACAAATAAAAATTACAAGAATCGATAAATGCTCTTCCATGTCTAAAAGTGTACGAGTGAAATGTTTAACTCTTCCATCGTGTGCCAAGATCTTTAAAGGACAATATCTGCATGTACGGAGCATTTTATCACTGTCGGATAGCTAGACGCGAATACAAATACTAAAGAGGAATGAAGAACGCTAACCGCTTTAATGTCAAGGTTCAATATGCAGCAAGTAGTTGTTTAACATGGACAGTTTGAGGATCGTTGAATTAATTCCAAGAATATACAAATAGATAACAAGAGACATTTGGCAATTTCAATCCTCTTTGTAACGCCCACGAATACTTTGTCTGTGGGTATTAGTCGCGCTAACATTGACGTCGCAAATAATGTAATGAACGATGGTCGATGTGCAGCTGGAATTTTGAGAGGGACACACTCCGAGTGGAATATCGGAGTGCCGGATCGTTGATGGAGGAAGGAAACGGCCGCGCTCGTGACTGGTTTGAGAACGACACTCGTTCGCGGTAGACTGGTCGAGAACAATTTAATGGTTCCCCGGTACCGTCGCATTTTATTCTGTAACGGCGAGACACTTCTGTGGCATTGTCGCGAGTCGATACGCAAAACACGTAAACGTAATTAACGTCCCCTTCCCCCTTCAGACGCTGCGGCGCCGCCGTCGAAACGTCGATGAAGTCGCGCCCGGCTATTTACAAGATTAAGCGCGCGGATGAAGATTAACGGAGGGGCCGTCACACGAGAAACATGGTCCGTGTGTACGTATACGTACGTACGTACGTGCCCGAGTTTCGGGGGGAGATCGTTGATTATTCTACATGGCGAACTACCACTCAAGTTAATGCTCCGTGGTCGACGAGTGCGCGGCTCTTTTGGCAGGTAACTTTAAAGTTCTCGCTTGCGAAGAAATTATATGCCCGAGGCCGCCGCCGCCGTTCCTCAAGCAAACGCTTGAAACTGTTGCTAAGAGAAATTACACGCGCATTCGCTGTATATTAATTCCCATCCCGTAGGAAGTTTTCGTTGCTTGAAAGTTTTAACGGCAAGGTGAAACCAACCAGAATCCCGCCAGAAAGAATTTATCGGTCGTGTTCTAGATGAGGGAGAGATTATAGTTGCTAATGCACTTCTTTCTTGTGTTCTTATTGCTTGATCTTTACAAGAAAGAACTTCGATAAATGAGTTGAGAAACTTTCGTCCGAGAGAGAAAAAAAATTATGTCGGTAATGTCTTTAAAATATATTCGTAAAACTTATCAAGATATATGTGTCATATGTCAAAACATTAACAAAAGCATGAAAATTTCGTAGACTATTCTACTATTTCTTCTAAGTATCTGTGCAAAATCTGAGCACAATTCTCTTAATGGTTTGAAAATTATATAAGTTTAAAGTTACTATTGATTCTTATGGAAAATCACGTATTGTAACACTTATTGACAAATTTGAAAAAACATTCTCAACGAAATAAAAATTTTCATATATTAAAAAAACTAATAAATATTTATACAAAACTTCATTTAAATCCACTTACTCGTTTAAAAGTTATTTACTAAAAAATGTAGAAAAATATTATCGTTCTCTCTCTTTCTCTTTCTGCAAATTACTCGTTTTTTTTTGTTTTTTGCAGTTGAAAAGTTTTTGTCATAAATTAGGAAAAATATTAATTACAAATATTTTCTTTTACGAAGACGTTAAAAAATCATATTATTTTGTGATACTTTAACTCTTTTTATAATCCGGATTTATTTATTTGATTTTTCAAACATTATAAACATAAGAAATATGTTCTTCTTAAACAGTTTTTTGCTACTATTGTACAGCCAAAACATTCTTAAATAAAACTATTACTGAAGAATGAAACAAAAATACACGCATACTTTTACTGTATTTTGTCATAATATTGCTTTTTAACAGAAGTAAAATAATTTCTAGCAAATAACATGCTAGAAAGAAGTTGATGTTAGATTTCAGAAACTGGTA